CTACTATTTGGAAACATTGAACGGTGATATATTAGTCGCATGGCGCCACGGAAGCATTGCAGCAGGCCCGTGGGACCGGTGTCGACCCAGGAATTCGCCGCGGGAGCCAGCTCAGCAGGTAATAATACGGCTTTGGGGAACAAAGCCACGCCACCACCGCTGAACCCGGACATAAGCCAAACACCGGGAGTTCAAACGGCAGTGTCTCAGCGCCGCTCAGTGCTCGGCTAGAACCTCGGACCTAGCATTACCTCTCTCCGAAGGGGACGCATGTGACCTCCACAGAGTATCGAATAATACACATTCCCCTTGTCAGAAAAATCCACGCCAGCGTCGTCCCTAGTTATAATACAATGGCAACGCCATGACAATGGAGTCATAATTTCAGTGATTCTGACATTTGAGCCTACTTTCAACAACGTACCGAGCAAGTTTACACGAACGCAAACCCACCCTCCGCACCGGGTCTGTGGACCAAGTGAAAGTCACGGAGCTGCCTGTTTTGCCGACTCGCCTTTTTACCAGACGTAAAAACGGCTGAGATATGGTCCGGACTGGGCCGCCGAGGTCCACATATGTAACAGGTGGCAGACCTTTTAGACGTCGCGCCCAGGCCAGCGCAGGTCCGACAGAGCCGACACGGCAGTGATTCAGCCACCGATTCACTCTCGCTCAGACACCGTCCCGACGTTATGGCGACACCGCCACGCCCCGGGGCAGCGCCGTGGGACGGGGGCGGGGGCGGGGACCAGACGGGACCGTCGCCGGCCGCTGCGTGGTCCGATTCTGTGCGGCCGTCTCACATGCCAGTGACGTCACACGTCAGTCAGGTGACGTCACGCGTCAGGCTGTCCGCCGCCGGACGTCCAGTCGCCTATTTTGGAGAGAGGTGTTGTCGGCATGCGCGCCGCGCCGTCCGGCGGCCCAAAACGGCGGCGCACGGCAGGGCGGATCCGGCCCGGAGAGCCAGAGATGACCTTGTCAGGGGCGACTGCCGACTGGCCACCTGCCGTGGCAGACAGCACTCAGAAGTCAGAGCTGTCCGACAGAGCAGAGCTGTCAGCGGTGACGGAGCTGACAGCTGGCAGACAGGAGTGCATTACGATATCTGCTGGTTTGATATTTTGTACAGTAGTCGAATGGGCCGGGGCGCCTGCAATCGCTCTCAGCTCTTCATCCCGTGCGTCCACTTGCTGTTTATAAATAGTTTCTTCTGTCCTGATATCCCGACTAGGTTCATCAGCGACTTCCATGTCGGAACCGGCTCGGTTCATGGCAGTGGCTGACCGAACTCTTCTGATCGAACTGACCGAACCCGACTGACCGAACTCAGCTGACCTAGCTCGACTGGCCGGCGCTCACCATTCAGCCTGCAGTCGGTGCCGGCATACCAGTGCTTCATTAATTCCGTCGGGAGGTCGGTCGAACGCCGCGCCGTCACTGGCGCGCTGAGGGGTGCCCCATGGAGACACGCGTCTCGACGGCCCACAACCAGACGGAACGCACGGCTAGCAGCATGACATTAGGACTGGCCCGGTCGTCCGCAGAACTCGAGACATGGGAGCTAGGCGGAACTCTACGCCTGCTCACTAAAGATGCTTCCAAAACGGCTTGAACACATTGGCAGGCAGCAAGCCCGCAGATATCCATAACCGCCAGAGGAATGCCAATGTAGAAACACAGCATTCGCAGCAGGATGTCGTGCAGAAGCACAGGTGCACAACTGCACAACGAGAGTCGGTCTGTGACCCGTCAGCCTAGCTGAACGGTCATCTGAGCAGTAGTAGAAAGGTCGGGAGATTACCATCATTATGTTGTTAACTGGAACGGCCGCTGGGTGGCAGCGTCAGACCTCTCACCGTCACATAAAACGGCAGCCCAGGTCAGGTTACCATCGGGCTCTGGAGGTGGCACAGCGACACGGCAAGGCGACAGGGCTCAAGGTCGCTCATTGCAGCGGAGAGTCAGTGTCACATTTGTCGCTTGAATGTTTAGTTGGTGTCACGTGGTCACTGCAGTGCTCTGTCAATGGAGCACCCGTATCTGAATGGCAAGGTTGCCGTTTAGCTGCAGCATGGTACAGAACTTCTGACTTGGACTGTTATTAATCATTTTCACATCAATTTGGACTGTTATCACTGAAACTTGACATAACGAGGTCCTGGTGTCAAACTGCGTCACTGCAGTGTTCTTTTCAGTCGATGGCTCAATATCACACTGTGCCAGTGATCGAGGTAACCGGTGACGGAGAGACACGTGACTTGGTCAAAGTCACGTGGTGTCACACTTCATTCAGGCATGCTGTGACACTTGACAGTGTCATGGCACATGACCTATACCTGAACTTTTCTGTCAAAATCGTCGCAGAGTGGTGATCGGCGGATCGGTTATCAAAGCGTTCGGCAGTGGGTTGAGTCTTCCAGGTGTTGATTGATGACTATGCACTGTGAGATATGCACTTTTTATTACCCAGTGATTAGTGAATAGAAACGGTATGGGTGACCGATAACGGTGATAAAATGGGAGGTGAAAGATTGTAGACGATCATTCGCTTGGCATCCTGGTTTCCACCTGCCAGTGATATAAACAAGTGACAGGTGTGCATATATGACCCAGTGATAAGTGGATATAATCATGGCGGATCGCCGGATATAAAGGCAATGTGAACTTGGCTTTAGTAGACGAAAGGCGACAGTTTGAGTCAATGAAAGTCGGCCCTGCAGAGGCCGGCGATAGACCCAGTGATCGGTGACTGTAACTCGACGATCAGTGACCGACCACCAGTGCAGTGACTGTATATACAGTCCAGTGATCACCGTTCGACCGGTGACCGCGGCCCGGTGACCGGTGGTCGGTAACCGGTGAGCCGTGACCGCGCCTCTCTCGGCTCCGGCGGTCGGCCGGCCGGCCGGCCCATACCGACCGATTATGCAGCTGCGGCCGGCGCCGACCCACCGTCACAGCTGGGTGCAGGTGTAGGCCGGCTGACCACCGCGCTCCGGCCCCGGCACACAGCACACAGCACAGCCGAACGACCGACCGACGGCCAGTCCAAACAACGGACCGAACTGCAATTGAAGACAAATGGGCCGGAACAGCTAGCGCACGTAACTTACAAAATCGGACTGCGGTCGGCCTCGCGTGCTGCCCGATGTTTTCATGGCACAGTGACCAGCCTGCCCAAATGAGCCGTAAAGACAGGGCTGGACTGTGGTGGCTGTGCGACGCGACCTTACGAGTAAAATGTCTCGCATTGCGCAAAAGAAAGTGTGAGAATCAGACTAAACGAAATCAAACGACTCTAAACAGTAAAACGCATGAGCTACCTGTGGGGCTATTGGACAAAGGGCCGTTGGGAGATAAGTATTGGCGTTCTCTATTGCAACATGCACACAAAAAGTTGTCGTTGCATAGCTACTTCAGGGGAGCGTCCAGGTAGGTAATCATTAAATCACATACCTTGAATTTATCAAGTTATGTGATTGGGAAAGGACATGGGACCAATGACTGTCATGATTCCAACTTTCATTTTCCACCGGGTTTTTAATTTATTGTTTAGGCTTTATTTGCGGGGGGGGGGCGTGCCATCGCCGAATGTGAGTCATCGGCCCTTAAATTAAAATACATTGTCGGATCACTAAGACATCATAAAAGGAGCACATCGTATCATGTAAAAACGGTACCCACTCCCAGTGCCCACGAAGCTATCTCAGCTTCATTTTCACATCAACAGACACAAAGGAGCGTTTTCCGGAAGCTCCCAATTCTAGCAGTTCCCTGAGTTTCTACTCCAACTACCCACATGGCCGATCTAAATATTCTTGGAACTCCACAGGAAATCCATAATTGTGAGCTCGTATGTCCGGCACTGAGCCGAGGCCGCAGTGGCCAGTGTGACAGCCGCTGACAGGTGCGGTCTCGGAGCTCCGTGACGGCGCACCCGGTGCTCTGTGTTCGCTGTTAGTGCTCCGTGCTCTATGCTCCGTGTTCTGTGCTCGGTGCTTGAGTCCGTCGCTGAGGGCTGGCCGACCACGCCCCGTAATTGAGGACTCGGTCGGAACGAGCGATTGGAGGCGTTAATCGTCACAGCTGTGACGAGGCGAGTCGGGCGGACCGGGCGAGGTGGTGGGGCGGTGGGCGTTAGGCGGTGGGCGTTAGGCGTTAGGCGTTAGGCGTTAGGCGATGGCGGTGGGCTGTAGACGGTGCCGAAGGTGGACGGTGGACGGTGGACAGCGCGCAGCCAGCAGCGGACGGCGCGGGCGGCGAAGCCCTGCAGCACCGCCAGCCGACCGACCACACCATCAGATAGCGCCCGGGGCGTCCGCAGAACGGTAGATTGGCGCCGCCTCTGGGCAGCGTCAGCCGACCAGGCCGGATTGGATTGGATTCGGGCAGGTGCAGGCTGCGCTGACCGACCAACTGGTATACAGAGCGCACTAGGCCGACCAAACGGACACAGCACCGCAATGATGACCGGGGAAACGCATCAGCACAAACTTTGTGCCATAAGATCGTTCTCTGTGGTAACGCAGTAGAGTCACCGTCCTTAGATTCAATGCGAAGTTTGTGGCCGAATTGGGAATGTAAGTCATCAGTTACTATGTACAAAAAACGTTCCCAAAAAGAAAGACTGTATCGGCGTACGCCACGAAGCATGACCAAATACGTTTCAGGTGATTGAAATGAGCGACTCAGGTGTTTTGATTATTCACGACGTTACATCATTCATGCTATTACTATGAAAATCCCCCGCTGTTTCCGCCGTTTTGTGGTCATGTGGTGGCGCCTTTTTTCATTTGGCATCTGACAGACTCAGGACGAATGGGTCCCCGCGGGCTGGGAACCAGTGACTAGTTTCCACTGCGATTGTTGGCTGAGAAATCGGACCCGAATTGGAGGGAAACTCGGACATTTGGCGATAATGCTGGGGTGAATGCACCTGTTCATTTGTGTCAGTACGTTGTGTGTGTGTTTGTGTCGCTCGGTGAGTGGGCACCCACCTGGTCCTTGCGCTCGATCTGCTCCTGCAGCCGGCGCAGCTCGCGGGTCTCGCGGACGCTCTCCCGACCGGACTCTTCCATCAGCTGGCGCAGCTGGCGCTGCTGCTGCTGCCGCAGCCGGCGCAGCTCGGCAGAGCGCTGCTTCTCGCGGATCCGAGACAGCTGCGCCTGCGGACGTCACACGGATCAGGTCAGCGGTCAGCGGTGACGTTCCGGGGAACAGATTGGTGCATACGATCATTGTGTTGATGTTGGCATTTTGCTGGCATCATTGTGCTAGCATTTCACCTCACCCTTATCCTATCCCGAATTCGCCATTTACCGATGGAAACAGTTAGAAACAACTCCGATTGTTTCCAATAGCAAGGATTTCTAACCCATTGATGCACAGTAAATGGACTACAATGCACCCAGACAGGAGCGCGGGAGGTAACCAGCCAACAAAGCGAGTACAAAACAATGCGCATTTTAAGTCGAACCACAGGAATTCGTGACGGCCGGCGAGCCGGCCAGACGGTGTGCCGATCATGGACAATGGCTTTATCACGGTCGAGGCCGCCCCGGTCATGCAAGGTTGCAGCTGGTACCGGGATGGGGCCGTGCACGGGCTAATTGTTTTGCGGGGGTGCTGATCGCTCGACCTCGGAGCACGGACAGTAGCCACTGACGGGACAATGCCTCCGGCCAGCCACCGCGGAGGTGGAGCGGAGCACAAACACCGGGAGACAGCCCGGCCCCCACCCCACCCCGTGGGGAGGGGCTGTCTCGGGGCCCACACGGGAAAGCCGGCGGCGTGGTTACCGGTTACTGGTCCGGTCCACAGCCCGCCGCACCCGGGCCGCACGACGGGAAACGGAATGTGGCCTTGTTCGCGACTGACCGACCAGAGTGAGCGAGCGACCGAACGACCGGCAGACAACTGACCGACCGACAGACAGATTGACCCACCGACAGACAGATTGACCGACCGACAGACAGACCGGCGACAGCCGGGCAATGGCGCTATGTTGACAGAGATGATGGCGACAGGGGCGGTGGTGGCGCGGTGGTGGCGGTGGTAGCTGAACTGTGTCGTGTGTCCGGGAAACGTAATCGGTGCCGTGACGGAGCCATGCAACAACTCTGTGAGAACTCTGTGAGAGTTTGTGTCGCAGCTCCCCGCGGGGAGAGCTGTGGACGGGTGTGGTGGGTAACGGTGAATGACCGTGACAGCTCCAGGGGCAGAGCTTTGAGGACGGTCGCTCCCACGGAGGACGGCATGTCATCCCTCGCTGATATCTCGTCGCCCGGTTCTGAGAAAGCACCGAGAATATCGCGACCAGCATCAGACACGTCTCCTGATCGACATCTCTCAGTGGAGCCCCGGATACCATCTCTCACGCTCCGCGACGCGTGAGCGGACATCCCAGAAATACCGCAAGTGCTCCAATCAAAACACGATCAGAGTCGCCCGGTCCAGCCAGCTCCCACCGGCGCCACCGATCCCTCCCCGTCTCGTTACCGGGCCCGGACGGCGGCACGGACGGACTACCCTCGGTCGTGGGACTGCCGGCCGCGTCACACCCGCTCTGTCCGGGCCGGCGGCTGTCAGTCACGGCTGTGACCAGGTGCTGGCCGCTGCACAGCCGGCTGCCGCTCACACATACACACAAACAGAGGAAAACCGGCGCCCGCCCGGCGCGGCGGGGCACGGCGCCCCCACAGCCGTGCATACGCGCGCCCCGAGCGGCCAGTTTCCCGGCTCCTGACCGACCCTGCTGTGTACGGCGGCCCGTGGGACCAGCCGCGCCCACAGAGAAATGCGCAGTTTTCGACACAGACGTCCACGCCCCGACGCAATGTCGACGACGATGACGACGGCCGTGGAGAAGCTATTGGCCAAGGCTGAGAGAAGATGGTCAGAGCGGCGAGCCGGGCACCGTTGTGATTGCTTCCAAGAGACTATGCCCGCTTTCATTGACCGCATATTCGCGGGTCAAAAGCCGTATTCAGTGCATGCAGTCATGTGCGACTCAAAATTAATGCTTGAATATCAACAAATTTCCTACCAAAGTAGGTACAGGACGATGGGTTGTATAGACCAGCTGATGGTCAATGCAGCCCTGTTGTAATGAAGTCCGACGAGTTTGGAATAGATGGTAGCCGACTGGACGTCAACGCGCATCACGCAACCAACATCAGTAACATGCGCTTCTGTCCTTTGGTGGAGCGAGCTGCTCAGGATCACGGCTAATTATAGGCAGCACACAGCCTCAGCAAAGGTGAAATGACATTTACGACGTTCAACATTGTAGCGCGATCGGATCAGCACTCAGCACAGCTGAGTGCGGGCTGGGCACATTCTGCGGTCGCGCCGGTCGGCCAGCCATTTTTGTCGTATGTGGATCCGTCCAGTTAGGTACTGAAGCGGCCGCCGGCCACGCTTCGACAACGGCCGTGCGGTATGATAAGGACCAACTTCCCACTAGCCGGTGCATGCAAACTTTGAGGTCTTGAACATTTTACAGCCGTAAAAAGCAAAGCTATGTGTACCTACTTTGACCTTGAAAGCGACCAATAATCTTTCTATTTAATCAGCATTTAATTCCTGGGATGGGAAAGTTAGGAAAAAAATAACACGATGTTTTAATATTATGTACTAGATCAATAGGACTAATGTTAGGAGCTTCCTTACGTCTAAACGAAAAAAGGGTCAGATAAAAATCAAGCTTAAACATCAGCACTCGTGAGTGGCCGACAGCCGTAACCAAGCCTACTCAGTATAGCCCAGTCTGCCGCATTCCGTCCAGGAAAAGGTGTGAAGCCACGTTATCATCGATGTCCTGTTGGCATAATCTCTGTTTCCTTCCATTTTCGGATAATCCTGTGACCGTTACATTGCGGTCCGATGCTCGGCACCACGGGCACACTTATAGGTAAGCTTGAGGCGGCGTCTGTTCCTTGAGCTTAGTTGGTAAACAGACGGGCAGCAAGGGATCGCGGCCATTTTTCTCGGCGAGGCGTCACGAAAACACGGGTACAGCTAGCAGCAATATAGTGGCAATATAAACACATGAGCGCCTCTCGGGCACATAACAGTCTAATATTCATACTCATATTCACGTGTATTTGGGCAATCCCGAATAAGCTTCAGGCTATTCCTACCCATCGTCAACAGATTAAAAAGGGAATAAAAACAGGAAGACAAGCCTCACATTGGCCTCACACACACGTCTCACACACTCTAAAATGCACTCACTCATCAGCCTCCGGACTTATCTCCGCAAAGGAGCTCGGCTCGCCCCAGCGTTTCTCCTAAGGTAACATTTCAACTGCCTTGAGAAGGGGGCACCTGGGAGGTGGCGAAGGTTTAGTGGTAGCGTGTTATAGAGGGCAGGTGCACGGATCGAAAAGCGGCGCCTCCCCATTTCAGTTCGGGATCGAGCGACAAAGAGGTCACTGTCCTGTCTTGTGGGTCGCTCGTGCACATCACCCACAGTCCGGAGCACACAGGCGAGCGAGTCTGGTTCGCCAGAACGGAGAACTTTGTGAGTGAGAGTGATTGTGTGGAACCTGCCTAGATCCGCAGCTGACAGCCAGCCAAGCCGTTGGTGTAAGTCTGATACATGGTCGTATTTTTTGCGGCCGAAAATGACTTTAGCGGCGAAGTTTAATATTTTTTGAATCCTAGACGTATTGAGCTGCGAGCCGTTACCGTACACTGCCAGGCAGTAGCGGATCTGAGACAGGACCAGAGCGTTTACTAGAGTGGCTAGAACACCGGCTGGCAGGCTGTGCCTCAGATGTGACAGACCAGTTAGGATTCCGAAACAGCGTTTACTGACGAGCGCGATATGCGAATTCCAACTTAAGGTGCGGTCGAAGACAAGTCCGAGATTTTTTACTTCTGAGCAAGGGACTAAGAGATGGTCGCGAAATTTTATGCACTGAATTGGGGAACGGTGCGCAAATTTTGTTTGCTTCCAAACAGCATCAGCTGTGTTTTCTCAGCGTTCACCTTCAAGCCGTTGAATCTGAACCAATTATCAAGACAGCTCAGGACACGTTCCAAACGAGCGATAGTGTCTTTTAACTGAGCTTTAGGACCACTGACCAAGAGCTGGGTGTCGTCCGCATATTGGACCACCAGGGCGTCCTCCGCGAAAAGGTTAAGGTCATTGGCAAATACGCTGAAAAGTAGGGGGCCCAGCGCAGATCCCTGAAACACGCCGATGCTGTTTGGAAGCTTTGAGGATATTTTAGAGGTACCCATGCGGTCAGTGAGGCTGACGCTTTGGGTGTGATTATGAAGGTAGGCCGAGAACCAAGCGGTGTCGATGCCGTGAGCGCGGAGTTTGTTGAGAAGTTTTGCGTGGTCTATCACATCGAAGCACTTACTGAGGTCTAGGAGGCAAAGCAACGATATTTCTCCACGGTCATTTGCGGACAGGATGTGGTCGGATATGGTGGTCAGCGCGGTCTCCGTGGAGTGGCGGGGGCGGAAACCGTGCTGGGATGAGGAAAGGAGGTGGTTGGATGAGAGGTAGTCAAAGAGCTGCTGATGAACTGCGCGCTCGACTATTTTGGCGATCACGGGGACGATGGATATAGGGCGGTAGTTGGAGGGTTGAGTGTGGTCACCAGACTTGAAAATGGGTAGTACTAAGGAATGTTTCCAGGATGTAGGAACTTCGGAGAGGGTAAGACTAGCGTTAACCAGGTGGAGAAATATCGTGCCGATGGCGTCAAAACTGAGGCGGACAACGCGCAAACAAATACCGTCCTCACCACACGCTGAGGAGCTGTTCATGCCAAACACTATTGCCCGTAGCTCGGAGAGCGAGATAGGTGACAAAGTCATGGCGCAAGCACCGACACGAGGCAGGCGACACGGAAGGTTAGACGGGGCTCCCTGACCAGCCACCTCAGCAGCAACGCGAGGGCCCACGCTCACAAAATACGCGTTTAGCTCATCGGGAGTTGCGTCCGGCGTTACCCGACCAGACCGACGGTCGCCGACAACGTTACGAATAGATCGCCAGACAGATGAAGCCCCGCCCTCAGCTATGCGCCGCTGGATGTCGTCACGGCTGTCGCGACGCAGCGCTGAGCGCACGGCGCGGTTTAGCTCCCTGTAGGAGAGGGAGCGGTGACCGTGCTGCGCTAGTGCTTGGCGGCGGCGCTGCATC